CCTCTGGGATCGCGCTGACTTAAGGCACTGCGTCCTCCAGCTTCAGGGACCCGACGGTTTCCGTGCGTCCAGGTGACCACTGGGTGAAAGATGGGTCGGGGGGGGGGGGTTCTTTTTCCTTTTTTTTTTTTTAATGCAAAAGAATGTTTTGTCTGAGAATTTCGCTTTGTGCTTCGCGAATTTATTGGTGACACATGGCATTCCGTTAGAAAGATAAAGATGCAAAGATGCATTCCTAGATGCTGGGGCTGCATTTCATGGTAGAGAGCTTGCAAGATTCCTAGGTGTCTTCGGGTGCATATATCTGCATGTAAACTCAGAATAGGTCTTAATATTGAAAACGAGAAAGGGAGGAAGTGGGGGGGGGAGAGAGAGAGAGAGAGAGAGAGACTATGAATATGAATGGAAAGTATGCAAAGCAATCGTGCTCTATCACTAAAGTATACCCCAAACCCCAGTACTAACTCTTTTGGTCTCCACCCCGATTGCAGATTAAACCCAGGGCCTTCAAACCCGAGCTACATCTCCGCCCAAACCCCCTCCTTTTTTGAGACAAAGTCTGGCTAAATCCCTAAATTGCACGGGCTGGGCTCCAATTTAAATGTTCCTGCCTCAGTCTTTCAGAGTGAGGAGATTACGGACGTGTGCCACGCCCAGTTAAAGCTGAGGTATTCTTATTTGAAGCAAGTGGGTCTGTAACTCCTGCGCCCCCCCCTCCCCCCGTCGCGCCCCCCCCCCCAAATACATACACAGACTTTTAAAACAGCTCTCCAGGAATTAAGCTTGGAGGCTTTGTTAGGCTACTACTACACTTAGCGGAATTAACCAGTTGCTTTCAACTCTTTAAAAAAACGTATTTTGTTACATCCTCTATGAATGTAATCATTATATACTGCCAATATGTATTCATTAATTTAAAAAAATGTTTATTTATTTGGTACAAGGTCTTGCTATGCAGCTCAGACTTGTAGTGGTGATCCCCCTGTCTCAGCCTCCCCAGCACTGGGATTACAGGCATGTGCCCCCACACCTGGTTTTAGTGGCTGGCTCAGCCAGGGCCTGCACCGCATGCACTACTGGGGATCGAACCTGGGTCCTTACACTCACCAGGCAGGTGCTTAGACAGCTGAGCTATCTCCCCAGCCCCATAAAAATTTTAAAAGTTAAATGAAATGCATTTTATGAAATATTTAAGAGTAAACCGAACATTGCAGGCATGGTACTTTTACATAATTGGTAATACATCATCTAAAGATGACGATATTGGTCCATTAAAACCACTATACTAATATTTCAACCAAGAAAATATTAGGGGACCAGGGATATAGGTCAGTGGCACAGTGCCTGCCTGGCAATCAGAAGGTTCTGAGTTCGATTCCTGGTACTATGAAAGAAAGAAAGAAAGAAAGAAAGAAAGAAAGAAAGAAAGAAAGAAAGAAAGACTGACAAAAGAAAATGTTAGGGTTGGGAATGTAGCTCAGTGGTAGAGTGCTTGCTCAGAATGCTTAAGTCCCTGAGTTCAATCCCATGCACCAGCAAAGCACAGCAAAATTATGGAATATGTACTTTATATAAATAAAAACTTTACACATTGTTCCAAACTAGGCTTTTGGCTGCTTTGGGATCCAAGATCCCTTCATGTTTTCTCTTCTCTTCTCTTCTCTTCTCTTCTCTTCTCTTCTCTTCTCTTCTCTTCTCTTCTCTTCTCTCTCCTTCCTTCCTTGTTTCCTTTCTTTTTTTGGTGCTGAGGACCAAAACCCAGGGCTTCCAGCTTGCTAGGCAAGCATTCTACTGCTGAGCCAAATCTCCAGCCTCTCTCTCTCTCTCTCTCTCTCTCTCTCTCTCTCTCTCTCTCTCTCTCTCTCTCTGTCTCTGTCTCTGTCTCTGTCTCTCTCTTTCGCTCAATGATAATGAATAGCCAGCCATGGTGCAAGTGCCGTGGATTTGCCACCCATAATGTAGACCATGCTGGCCTTGAAATCTTGATCTTTTTGCCTCAGCCTCTTGAGTGCTGGGATTACTTCAAGTCTAGCTTATTGCAAGGTTCTTGTATGGAAAAGTTTTAATGTCCCTTGGGTTTTTTTTTTTTTTTTCTTTTTGCTCTACTGGGGATTGATCTTGGGACCTTGCATTTGCTAGATAGGTGCTTACGCCGCTGAGCTATCTTCCTGGCCGTCCTTAGGATCTTTAAACCTGGAGCAGTCACTATTGTCTTTCTGTTATATTGACTTTTTGAAGAGTCATATGTTGTTCTTCAATAAAGTCACACATTTTAATATTTCTGCTTGTGTTTTCATGGTGTGTTTACGTATTTTTCAATCACTTGTCTTTCTTTCTTTCTTTCTTTTAATGTATTTGGTACAGGGTATCACTACACAGTTCAAACTCGTAGTGATCCTTCTATTTTCAGCCTCCCCAACCCCGGGATTACAGGCATGTACCACAACGCTGGTCTCGGTGGATGGCTCAGCGTGCCCGGGGGTGGGGGCAGCCCAGCATGTGGTGCTTGCCTAAGCAGGCACTTAGTCCACTGAGCTATCTCAGCGGCCCTCATCACTTGTATTTCTTGTGTAGTAATGAATATCCATGGCTGATTAAGGACAGTGAAAAAATTCAACTGAGGACTGTTCTTAGGGAACTTATGCATTAGCAGAGTAAGCATCTGATTAACAGCAAATAATAACTTTTATAACAAATTGATTAGAGTTTTAGAAGTAAAACATTACATATTTTGTTGGAATATGGGAGTCAGTGACTCTAAGAAAAGTGCATCTAGGGCTGGGGAGATAGCTCAGTGGCATAAACACCTGCCTGGCAAGTGCAAGCATCCAAGTTCGATCCCTGGTACCACACGCTATACTGGCTGGCCCTGGAACTCCTGATGAGCCGCCAACACTCCATGCCACTCTGGGTGCAGTGGCACACACCTGTAATCCCAGCACTGGGAAGGCTGAGACTGGAGGGTCACTACGAGTCTGCACTTTGTAGCAAGAACCTGTATCTAAATAAATAAATAAATAAATTAAAACATTAAAAATATTTTAAAACATTAGAAAAAAGAAAAGAGCATCTATTTAAGCTGGGACCAAATGACAAAGAATAGGAATTAGCTATGTTAAAACAAAAGAGAAGGGCCAGCCATGATCCCTGGATCTGCTGTGCCGGCCCCACCCCTGGGGCACGCTGAGATGGCAATGGAGACTGGGTGTGGTGGTGCGTACCTGCATCCCAGATCTTCGGAGGCTGTAAACAGGCTGATCACTATGAGTCTGATCTAGTAGTGAGACCCTGAACACCCTGTAGACCCTTCCCTAAATTACAGAGAGAGAGAGAGAGAGAGAGAGAGAGAGAGAGAGAGAGAGAGAGAGAAAATAGGAGGTAAGGAAAGCTTCAGTGTGTACTGGCTACTTATTTGACATTTGTACACTGAGAGAGGGCATCAATGTTTGCCCTCAGTTTGACAGTGTAGACAGTGGAGTGTTTTTGTTTGGGAGAACATATCTGATTGTCAGTATATAGCTGACAGACAATGAAGGCAGGAGACAGGAAAAGGAATGTTGTGGAACTGTCCTGCTACAAGGTTGTATATGGTTAGATGTCTGGACTTATGTGTAAACATAAGAATTATATAATTCTTTTTGCCTATTTTTAAAATATATTTTAATTTTTTAAATGCTTTTTCATCATATTCTGTAGGGATTTAAAATTCAGCATATCAATACTTGATGAAAAATACCTGTTCCATGTTACGCCTAAGATGTTTAATATTCAGACAGATAGTGAGGTTAAGCGTAACAGCCTAGGTTGTATGGTAATAACAATAAGCTTGTCTTCTGCAGGATTAACCTAAGTTTGTGGACCAAAATTAGAGAAAAAGGAGGGCTGCAAGGAAAGCCAACTTTTTTTTTTTTTTTAGAAATAGCAATGAACATATTTATTTTATTAAAACAGAATAATATATGTTTGAGACTGCAAGGAGTAGTAACCAAGGAGATATAGAAAGCAGAAACTTTGGAGGATGACAGAGAACAAGAACCCATTTCTGTTTCTCACAAGGCCCAGTTGGTCCAGGCTGCCTCATGTTCTCAAAGGGCAGGAGCATCCTTGTGGAATAAGGAGAAACCTCTAGGCAGGGAGGACCAAAAGCATCAGAAAGCCAACATTTGGCCCTAGCCTTCCAAGGTCAATTAAGACTCAGGACATATGAGAACTTGTACTGTAACATCATGTAACTCGGTAGTGTCCCAAATTTTCTGATCAAGGAGATTATGGGGCCAAAGAGGAAAGTGATCGATGATGTAGAGTGTGCCTAAGGAGAGTCACATGGAGAAAAAACATTCTCTCAGGCTTTCACAGAGAGCACATTGGCCAAGCAATGGCTGTGACTCATCCACATGGCTGACACTGACAAAAGTTCTACAATCTGAGGTACAGGATCTCAGGATAAATCCTGAGGGGATTTCACTGGCCTTATCAGATCCAAAAGCTACGACTCTTGTTGCATAGGTCTTGCTTTGTCTTGGTCTTAACCATCCAGCACAAAAATATAAAAAGGAAGTATAAGAAGTAAAGCCATGGTGTTATGTTGAGCTGTAGGGGACTCAGGTCAACAATTTCTGACATTGCCAGTCAAGCGGAAGTATATAGCTGACAGGAGGATAAATGACAGCTGGGCAAGCGATGTAACCAAGGGAAAATGAGAGCACGTCAGCCAGGCGCAGGGGCGCACTCCTGTAACTCCAGCAGGCTGGGAGGCTGCAGCAGGAGGAGGTAAATTTGAACCTCACTGAGGCAACAGTGATTGAGTGAGACCACCATCTCAAAATAAAAACAGCTGGGGATGTAGCTTAGTGTGAAGGCTCTGGATTTATTCACTAATTAGACATTGAAAAAATTATTTGGTAAAGTTTATTTATATTATCTATCATAGGAAATGCTTATGTTCATAAACAGAGTCAAAGCATTTCGTGTTGTTTCCAATCCACCTTGGGGTTCTTGCTACTCAAACTAGGACTCTGTTTCCCTAAGAGAATGTTCCAGTTCTAGTTCCAGGAGTAGCTCATCCTGTCTGG